AGTGGACATTGAAGTATGTACAGAAGTGATTTGTGAGCGCGATACCCAAGTTCTCTCTTCACTTCCACAACTGATGCAAGTTGCAGATACTGAACACCGGCATTGGACATTCCGCTGCATGCGGGCCTCTCCCGTCTCAAACCCCATACATCCACACCTGCATCCAGTGCCAATGTTAGCTGTGTTTATACTTGTGCAGCTGTGATGTGCAAGAAGCTCGAAATGTGGAGCCTTTCGAGGGGCACCTGGACACCTATCTGGACGAGGAATCATGTACTGAATTCCACAAGGTGTAGAAAATCCAACTGAGCTTTCAAAACGAGACCGGGATGTGATGTCAGGGGAGCGCGGTGTAGAAAGCTTGCTTGGAGGTCTGAAACCGGAAGCAAGTTCCGCCTGTATGGAGAGTGCCCCGAGCTGGTTCGGAGGGAAATCTGCCACATCTGCATGTGACCGCCAGGAGGAATCGTTGTCAACGGCTGTGATCGCGCTGCTTGGCTGCTGACGTGGAAACGTGGAAATTGATTTGCACAATTTCACCATCCTTTGCTCCATCATCTTGTGTTCCGCGACACCGGTAAACGCGGATGCGTGTGGTCTCTGTAAGGATCGGACATTGAGGGGGAAATTTGGGGCAAATTGAGAGGGAGAGGGGTCAGGCGCAGCGGGTGATGAACCTGGGAATTGGAGCCAAAAGCTGTGCGAAGCAAAGTCCATTACCACTAGACTTCTCGTTTTTCCCCCTTCTTTCAACCCTCGCTCCCCTCCTCCCCCTTCCCCCCTCTCTCCCTCTGACCCCCATCTCCCTCTCCCCCCCTCTCTCGCACCCGGGGCCCATCCCCCGTCTCTCCTCGCTCTCGTTGGAGTCACTTAGCGTCAAGCCGCACCTTGTTCCCAGAACGCGATCCCGCGACGCGGTTAGAGCTCGAATTGGAAGTAGTCGCATAATCAAGATTGTGATCCGCGGAATGCGGCGCTCCGTTCGCTGCTGGGGCGGAGCTGCTTCCGTGAATAGTAATACTCGTCGCAAGGACGGCGAGCGGCGACCAATAATTGAATGCGTTGGAGGAAAATTCTTCACGGCCCGCGCGAGACGCCTCGGTGCTGACTTCATTTTCACGGGCGCCCGTTTGAGCTGTCGATTCCAAGTCGTTAGCGGCAGTGGCGAGCGGCGGCGGCGACTCAAGGCGAGATGGGTCATCATCGGTTTTCGCAGCGAGGCCACGCGAAACGGTCACCATTTTTAGCAAGTCTTATGCTGAGCAATCGACAGCGAGGTACTAGCTGAAGCCGAGATTAAGGCCTTAAAAAGGGGTGAGGAGTTAGTAAAAAAGGACCGTACTTGGAAATAAAGAGAAAGCGCTGCGGCGCGTGAGAATTTGAGAGTGGTAACAAGAATTTCCTTTTTGCAAAGAGTCAGTTCAAGGTGAACGGGTTGGTGTGACCAGAGTGGGACATAGGGAACAAGTTGACCTCTCCCGACAGGTCGATTCTCAACTCCGTTCCGAATCCTGGCACTTCGTGACGTGCGCAAGCGCGCAGAGCGCGCGCAGCGCGCGAACCAATCAACATCGGCGGCGGAGTGCAGCGCAACGCAACACGGGGAAACGCGCGGAGCTGCGCAACGACGCGGCGCATTTTCAGCTCAGCCGCGCGGCGGCAGAGAGTGCGCGCAATGGGCACGGTGTAGTGTGTGTGACTAGGGTCACAGCGCACGGTTGCCGGTGTTGCGTTGCGAACGACGGGACGGGAGGACTAGCCCCCGGGGGGGAGGGAGGCGAGATTGGGGAGGAACTCGGGAATCCTGGGGGTCGGAGATGGGCGGGGAAGGAGGATAGCAGAGCAGGTTCGTGCGAGGCAGAGCAGTCGCGTTCCCTAATGGACCGCGCGGAGTCTAATGGGCGTTGGCGGGGTGGGGTGGTTCACGCCATAATTCGGCAACCAAGGCAAGCAGACTGCTGGACGGATGCTGCTGATGACGGTGTCCGAACCAAAGTAACCGTCCACAAATGTCAAGGAGGGAATTCGTGCGATGTCGTTCGTCCGATTTCGAGATCGGACGAATGACATTTTTCGACGCAACCGACGTTTGTCGACGGTCACTTTCAGACATGCTTTTACGAATGCCGGCTACAATGCACGTCGGCTTGGCTCGTGAGCGCCTTTTCTTCCCACTCTCTCTCATACGACTTCTGCCTGAACATTGGAGCCAATGGGTATTCCGTAAGATCGAAATTGCTGCCAAATGCCTTCACTATTACAGTGCATCAAGCATCGAGGCAGCCATGGTCCTTGCGCGGCAACAGACATTATGATGCTAGAGGTGGGTATGAGGATGAGCCCCACGTGAAACCTGTCTGTTACGTAGGGAGGAAAACAGACACAGTCCCGCGTTGAAGTGTTCCAAAGGTGTATTTCAGAAAATTTTTGTGTGCCAGCTTGTACTTGAGGGGGTAGGCCTGTTTGAAGACGCTTGACGAGTTACATCCTCCACGCGACGACACTTTCTGAACACACTTGCTGTGTAGGTGCACCCCGATTTAGTGCCCCTGATGTCAAATATTTGTGGTCCATCAGTTGCTGCTGGTTTAGGTTGGGTTGGGTTTGTTTGAGCTGGGTTGATTAAAAAATTGGAGGGAGAGGAAATAGAACGGGTTCACGTAGACCAAGGTCAGTCGGGTTGCTGTACAGAAGTGCCTGAGGAAACAGAGCAGGGCTGCAGGGGGTGAAAGAAAGGGGCACAACTGGGAAGATCTGGAGTACTGTAGAACAACAGGTCGTGGGCTCGATTGCCCAAACCTTGCATCGTCACGTCTGGTCCCATATGAACCACTTAGGTGGTGGCATCCCCCCGTACCAGGGCTATTGCTAGGTTTTCTGCTAGCTCGGACGATCCGGGCCCCTGTGAAAAAGACCCTGTAAAATCCGAGCCAGCGGGAAAAAAACCTTGACGAATCCGGGTTCGAGCCAGAAAAGGCCTGAAAACATGCATTACCAGAATTTCGCGGGAAACTCACAGTGGGTTGCGCGAGGGCTGGGGAGATTGGAGATGGAGTGGCTCTGGAGGGGTGAGCGAGATACTTTTTGTAGACTTAGAAAAAAATACGATGAGGAAGAGTACATAGGGAGAACAGGGCAATCAGACACTCTCTCCTTATTGGCCTTCTAAGCCATGTCGACGTAGAACGGGGCAATCAGACACATGGAGGCCAACAAGGAGAGAGTGGTTAGGAAATTCACTAAAATTGGCCCAACGTGTGTTTAGAGGGAGACCGAGAGGAATGCAAGGCAGGTCGGGGAGAACATGTCTGCTAAAATTATACGGGTCCCCTTGAGAACTCCCCGGAGAGATCCGAGCTGACTCAAAAATCACCCTTCAGTTTTACGGGCTGGTCCGGAAAAAACCTTGTGAAAATCAGGGCTCCTAGAAAAAACACCCTATAATTTCAGTCAAAACAGGGTAATTGCCCTGATAACTTAGGCCCTGCCCCGTACCCTCACACACAACATTGATGTGACACCTCATCATCTTGTCTTTAATTGTCAACCTGGCAGGCACATGTGGGGTGAGGAGGATCTTGTACACCTGTAATTCCGATAAGATCGGCGGTTCGGCTGGTTATGTGGCGGTGGTGTGGTGGTGGGTCCTCAATTGTGGATCCAAGCTGGCATGTTGGGCCAGATGCAGTTGGCCCACTCCTCCTGTCCAACCCCGATAGTGTTTTTGGCGGGAATGGTCCTATGATGGTGTTTAGGACGTGGTGCAGAACGTCTCAGCACGCCAAAAGCACCGCGGTGCATCGGGTTTCGAAGCTTCCACGCACACAGGAACCCGGTGCGTCGCCTCGTCCCGGAGCGTGCCGGGACGAGGCGATGCACCGACGCGTGCCGGTACGCCCCGGGGCGTGCTCTGGGGCGCCCCAGCATTCTTGAAAGGCTTGCGAACTCCCGAAATTCCAGTTACTAGCCAAACTGTCGCGCGAGGATCTCGATGAAATAGTTTGATGATTGCGACTTCTTCTTGGGGAGGGATAATTGCGAGATTTGTTTAGCGAACATTTGGCGAACATTCACCATGTAAACATTCCTGGCCGAAATGTGAATCAAAGTCTTTCGCCTTCGCCCATTGCTGGTCGAAGGCTCGAACTCAGCTCTTGGAAGGAAACCCGAAATTAAGACGCGTGCCACGGGGCGAGCTGGGGCGCCTCAGCACGCCCCGGGACGCCTCGGTGCACCGGGTCTGGACCCGCTCTGCACCACGTCCTTAGGGGACATCTTACACACCAACCTCACAGCGCCCTCGGGAACACTTCTGTTTGTGACGGCGGGAGCTTTATCCCGCCACAAACCCCCGGCGTGGACTTGACCGAGCTGGTAGTCCAGTTATCCTCGTTAACATTTGTCTTCTTTCGATACTAGCACTGTCTGTGATGGTTTTGTTATAGAAGCAATTTGCCATTTGTGCGACCTTGAATTTCACGTGACCATCTCCTAAATGGACGTGACACCAGTTGTCACCTCCTAACGCTGTTGATTTCCCAACGTGGCACGTTTATGACTTCTGACGTCAATCTCACCGGCACTTGTCTCCGTCTGTCACATTTTTCAACGGCTGCGATGCGCCGTACTTTCCCAACAAGCAGATTGACGCGAGACAGCAGCCGAATGAACTACACAGGCCGTACAGATCGGAATCCGCGCCGCGCGACAGCCTGACTAGAAGTTTTCTCCGCGCTTCGGCATCCGCAAATCGATACAAATCTCCTGAAATCTTCACGATGAATCATCACCACTTTCACCCGTATCAGCCCACTCAACATTTCGAAGCAGATTCTCCGCCTCGAACCATTTCTCCACCGCATCAAACCACTCTCCAGCGCGTCAAACCGGCTGCCAGGAACGAAGAGGACCCAATTCTCCCGCTTCACCATCCTCCTACCCGTTTAGCGCTCGCGGCCTCTTCCTCACTTCGCGGAAGGCCCCTCCTTAAACGCTAACGTATGGCGACGTCTCTGCCGTTTACTCTCCCCTTCCTCTCTCTCCTCCTCCTCTTCCTCGTGCTCGCCGCGTCTTCCGCCGCGGTTAACGGGGAGGAGTACGAGTCCAACTTCTGTGACCGTTACGTGCGCTACCTCGGGCTGACCTGCCGCGAGTATCAGGTACACCCTGTGCTTATATGTTGAGTTTACTTTTGAGAATTCTCAACAGTACCGAAGGGAGTTGTAGGCCAGCTATGGTGAATTTACTTTTGAGAATCATCAAAAGTAAACTCAAACCTACCTCGGGCTTACCTGCCGGAAGGATCAGGTACACCCTGGGCTTAACATACTTGTACCAGATACTTCCTACCTCCATTTTCTACTCCCTCTCCCTCCCGCCTCTTCCCTCACACACACTCTCCTTTCTTACCATTCTCTTGAACCTTCTGTCTGTCCCCCCTTCTCTCCCTCCTTCTGCCTTCCTCTTCCTCTTTCTCTCCCATCTTCTCGTCTCCATCCCTCATTCTTGTATACCTTTCAAGCTCGCATCTGTTTGTCGTTTTCTTCTGCTTCCATCATTGTGCCACGTCACAGGTTACGACAGTTGACGGCTACATCCTCAACTTCCAGCGGATCCTTAACGCAACTGCTTATAACGCATCCATCTCAGCAGCAGCAGCAGCAGCAGCAGCAACTGCAGCAACAAGAGCAGCAACCGCTCCCACCACCAACACCCCCACCACTGCCACCACTCGTTCCTCCTCTTCTCCCTCCTCCTCCTTCTCCACTCCCTACCCTGTGCTTTTAGACCACGGGCTTATACTGGGGGGCGAGCTCTGGTTCGGCCTCTCTAATGTCACAGTTGACCCTATTGCGTACAAGAGGCTGCCTATGATTCTGGCCAACAGGGGTATGGACGTGTGGGTGGTTAACCACCGCTGCACCGAGTACTCCCCCCGGCACGTCACCTACACGACGCAGCAATGGGTGAGTTGGGGAAGGGGCATGATAGTGTGATAGCTGCACCGAGTGAGAGCGATAGCTGGTTGTTTTGCTGTCTTCCTACTTCTACTTACCCTCGTGTGGGTGGTTAACCACCGCTGCACCGAGTACTCCCCCGCCACGTCACCTATACCTCAGAGCAGTAGGTGAGTAAGAGAGAGCATTAGTACAAACAATGAGAGCTGGTTGTCCGCCTGCCCCTCGTGTGGGTGGTTAACCACTGCTGCACTGAGTATTCTCCCGGTACGCCACCTACACCACAGAGCAATGGGTGAGTGAGTGAGTGAGTGAGTGAGTGTGTGAGTGAGTGAGTGGGTCCGTGAGTGAGTGAGTGGGTGCGTGAGTGAGTGAGTGGGTGCGTGAGTGGCCGAGTGAGTGACCGTCCCCCACAGCAACACTGGGACTGGGATTTTGACCAGCTGGCGCAGTTCGACCTGCCTGCCATGTCAGACCTCGTGCCATCCGTCTCCACTCATCCCCAACCATCCCCACCCCTCACAACCATGCCCCATCACAGCAATACTGGGACTGGGACTTCGACCAGCTGGTGCAGTTCGACCTGCCTGCAGTGCTGCGAGTCGATTCAAGCACGCATGTTCCACCCTTCTCCACCCCTCACAACCATGCCCCATCGCAGCAATACTGGGACTGGGACTTCAACAAGCTAGTGCAGTTCGACCTGCCTGCTGTGCTGCTTATTGCCATCCCACTCCTCCAATTCCCACCAATCTCTACCCATCCCCACCCTTCACAACCATGCCCCACCACAGCAATACTGGGACTGGGACTTCGACCAGCTGGTTCAGTTCGACCTGCCTGCCGTGCTGCGAGTCATCACCACCGTAACCGCCTCCCCCAAAGTGCACCTCGTGGGGTACAACCAGGTGAGACCTTCATGCTTGCCTGCCTGCCTGCCTGCCTGCCTGCTTGCTGTGCTGCGAGTCATCACTACCGTAACCGCCTCCCCCATAGTGCACCTCGTGGGGTACAAACAACCAGGTGAGACCTTCATGCCTGCCTGCCTGCCTACCTGCTGTGCTGCGAGTCATCACCACAGTAACGGGCTCCCCCAAAGTCCACCTCGTGGGGTACAACCAGGTGGGTGCGACCTACCTTTGATTCTCACCTGGATTCACAAACACCCCCCCTCACTGCCCGCCTGCCTGCCTGTCTGTTGTGCTGCGGGTCATCACCACAGTAACCGCCCCCCTCCCCTCCCCCCATCAGGGCGCCATGCTCCCATTCGCCTCGCATCCACCTACCCTGAATACACCCACGAGACCATCGCTTCTGTCACTGCCGTTGCTCCCATCGCTGCTGAAGCTTCCACTTCTAGACTATCTCCCGTGTAATACGAGTTGGTTTTTGAGAATTCTCAAAAGACAATCTCCCATGTATTGCGCCACAACCCCACCCCTTCTCACTCCCACCCTTCCACCCGCCCCCCTCTCCTCTCCCATCAGGGCGGCATGCTCCCCTTCGCCCTCGCATCCACCTACCCTGAATACACCCGCCAGACTGTCGCCTCTGTCGCTGCCGTTGCTCCCATCGCCTACCTCGTCAACATCACCTCCCCTGTGCTGGACGCCTGGGCCAACAACTGGAGCCCGGATATCGTGAGTGCCTTCTTGACTCACTCGTTATCAGGAGTGCCTTGTTGCGCTGTGTGTCTCTCTTTTTTTATGTTCCCATCGCCTACCTTGTCAACATCACCTCCCCTGTGCTGGACGCCTGGGCCAACAACTGGAGCCCCGACATTGTGAGTGCCTTGTTCCCTTTTTGTGTGCCTGCTGTTGGTGTCACACTCGATTACTGTCACATGCGCTGTCGCCTCTGTCGCTGCCAGTGCTTAGCCTACCTCGTCAACGTCACCTCCCCCATGGAAGACTCGTGCCCCTCTGCCTGCCGTTGCACCGTCTGCTTGCACCGTCTCTTTGCCAAATCCCCCGCTCTGATTTTCTCTGTTTTGCCCTTGTTGTTCCGATTGTCTCTGCAGTTCTTCTATCAGAACCATTTGCTCAACGGAGCTTACAACCTCACAGCGTGAGTTACCATTAACTTGTGTTTTCTTCCCTACTGCTCAGATTTAAGGTTCTTCCCTTTCCACAAAACCTTTAAACATGGAATCACGCTCTCCTCCTCTCATCTCATATATCCTCGCTGTTATCCCCCTTTTTTTTTCATTCGACTCAGAACGGAGGTTCTCGTCTCGACGCTTCGCCGCGTGGGCTTTAACTTCTATACCGTTTTCACTCCGTCGGGGAATGTACAGGACATTCTCAGTAATGTCACAGGTGTGTGGGCTTTAACTTCTATACCGTTTTCACTCCGTCGGGGAACGTACAGGACATTCTCAGTAATGTCACAGGTGTGTGGGCTTTAACTTCTACACCGTTTTCACCCCCTCGGGGGGGAACGTACAGGACATTCTCAGTAATGTCACAGGTAAATGGTTCTCACCATCTATCATATCTTCTCTTTCCATAATGCTCCAATTTCGCATTTTGACATCGCATTTCCCCCTCCCCCTCCCCCCCCTCCCCCTCCCCCTCCCCCCCCCCCTCCCCCCCCCCCTCGCCCTCAACTCCCTGTTAGCATTCCACAGAAATAACAAACCTTCCTCTGACTCTCCCCGTCCCCTCCCTTCCCCATTCCCCTCTCCTCTCAGGTCCTATCTGCTGCATGGACCCCTACGCCCCGCCTCTCGCCCTCAACCCCAGTGGGTTGCACTTCCCCCATTTCTCCCCCTCACCCTCCCCCTCCCCCTCCCCCTTCCCCTCCCATCCCCCCTCCCCCATGCCCTATCTGCTGCATGGATCCCAACGCCCCGCCCCTTGCCCTCAACCCCCAGTGGGTAGTCACTTCCCCCATTTCTCCCCCTCACCCTCCCCCTCCCCCTCCCCCTTCCCCTCCCATCCCTCCTCCCCCAGGCCCTATCTGCTGCATGGATCCCAACGCCCCGCCCCTTGCCCTCAACCCCCAGTGGGTGGCCACTTCCTATCGGGCACTGATTCACTACCAGCAAGGTGAGAAACCTGTACTCCTTGAAAGCTGACTCATTACAAGTTGTACTCGTTAGTAGCTGTGCTCGTTAGAAGCTGTACTCGTTAGAAGCTGTATGAGGGGGTTCAACAACCCCCCTGCCCTCTACTCCCTTTGGGTGGCCACTTCGTTCGTACCAGGCACCCCACCCACTCTCCCACCCACTCTCCCACCCCCACTCTCCCACCCCCTCTCCCACCCCCACTCTCCCACCCACCCTCCCTCCGTATCCTTCCCCCCTATTGTGTTAACCAGAGATTCGCGATCGGCAGTTCCAGCTGTGGGACTTCCTGTCAGCAGAGGCCAACACCGCCAACTACGGCTCATCCACCCCCCCTCTGGTGAGAGCCCTGCATTATAAGCACAGTCCTTTGTACGCACCCTTTCCACAAGCACATCTCTCTTTACTCTTTGTCCCCTCCCCCCCACACCCTTTCCCCCCTTCTGACTCCCCGCCTTGTCTGACACACTAGTATCCATTCTTTTGCTCCAACCCAGCTCCCCCCCTCCCACCCCTCCAGTACTACCCGAGCCGCTTAGCGACCAACATTCCAGTCCTGATTATCTCCGAAAGCAATGACTCTCATTTTCCACCACCCCCTCTTCCCCTCCATTCCCTTCCATTCCCATTCCCCTCTCTCCCTCTCCTCTCTTACCACCCTCCAGTACTATCCGAGCCGCCTGCCGACCAACATTCCGGTCCTGATCATCTCCGGAAGCAACGATTGGTTCGCCGATCCTCCCAATGTGGCTCGGCTCAAGTCGCAGCTCGGCACGAGCCGGTGGTTGGAGCATGTGGAGGTGCCTATGTACTCGCACTTTGACCTGATCTACGGCGAAAATGTGCATAACGATGTGTTCGCGAAGGTTGCTAATTTTCTAGAGCCTGCTGGAAAGTAGGCACGAATATCTGATGTATGAGTGTCCTCTTCGTTTAAATATATGAAAGTGTATGGGTGACAGCATTCGCACCGCAACTGCCTCTGAACTAAAATGAAACAGGTTGTGATTCACCCAAACTAGCATTGTGGCTTGGCTCAAGTCACAGCTCGGCACGAGCTGGTGGTTGGAGCATGTGCGGTACTCGCACTTTGACCCGATTTATGGTGAAAATGTGCATGTTGATGTGTTCGCGAAGGTTGCTAATTTTATAGGATCTGCTGGGAAGTAGGAAGTGTCTTATGCAAAATGGAAAGAATGTCCCGCTATGCTGCTCTTGAAAATGTGAAAAGTGCAAGGTGAGAAACTTCTAAGGATACATTCCGCTGTGGACATGTCCCTTAAAACCAGTAGCTAAAATAATGACCCCTCCCTTCTAGTTGTGTCCACTTGAAAACACAAGTTTCTTCAAACGTTTTCGGTGAGTTGTGCTGTGTGTTCATATTTTTTCAAGCAAGACGAGTCTCAATGTGAACTGGAAACATCGCGAACTCATGAACAATTCAGTTTGGCGGCGACACTCATCCACATACGTGTGCGATTTTGGCGCAAGATTGCAATGCTACATTCCAGGCCCTCAGATTCACTTTGAGGGACGTAATTCCTGATTGACAGTGTCCCCTAGAAAAAAGGCCTGAAAAATCAGTGTCACTTAAAAAAAAACCCTGAAGCATCAGTGCTCCAAGAAAAAAGGCTGTTTTTACTAAACCACACGGCTGACTGCCTCTTGGTACACCTGGCAGGAACGCAAGGAAACCCCCCGCAAATGGAAAGCACGGAGCAGAATGGGTTGGGAGCCTGGATGGCAGGTAGCACGGCTGGGCGGCGTGGATGCATCAGTTCTTGCCAGCACGACCTAGACAAAACGCGCCACAGGATAGGACCACAGATGCAAGCAATGGGCCAGAAACCCTCGCATCGCAGCCTGCCAGCATCGCTGTGTTGCAACCTTGTCATTGGTAAACCTATGTAATGCCAATGATCTGACCAGGGGCGCCAGCAAAGCAGCCCTCAAAGTGAAAAAACACGGGGCAATTTTGTCTCATAGTCACCGCCAGGCAGTGCTGACACCGCGGGAATCCGAGACTCCCTGTACTTCCGGGCAACTACACTCGGAATTTGTAGGAATCTCATTCAGTGTCAGTTTCGGTAAAACGTAGTGCAATCAGGGTCCTTGAAAAAAAAAAAAAAAAAAAAAAAAAAAACACCTGAAAGTTCAGAGTCATCTGCCAAGAAAAGGCTGAAAAATCAGTCCCAAAAAAATTGAACACTGGAAAATCAGGGTAGGTACAAAAAAAATCCATGAAAATCAAGAATTTCAGGGGAAAATTCCTAATATCGTAGGGCCTGCTACATCACTCGAGTCATCGTAACTTCAGAAGTGTCGCAATCGATATTCCGCCAAGTCGCGTCCAAAGTCACAAAGAATGAATGTATTGCGACCTGGATATTTGTGCGACAATCACATGTGCTGCAACATTCACGATGCACACTTAGGGTGCACAAGTTTGGGTGTGGCCATAACGGGCAGACAAAAGTGCCACTCCGCACCCATTATAGCACAGGCTGCGGGAGATTATCGGGCATGACAGGCGCGGGCAGGGCTCATGTTTGAATTTGGCCTACTCACGATTGGCAGTGTAGCTTTTTCAAAAACCCTTATGGGCAGTGTGTACTTTTCTGTTACACTGATAGAGCACTGTAACATCAGGTTTTAAAAATATTTACCCTGCATCATCAGTGTGGTTTTTTTTCAACACAAACAACTAGTAATTTGGGGGGTGGAGGAATGGCGGTGTGTGGCGAAACTGCTTGCTGTGCTTGCTGAACCAACACGGCATTGCATCCAAACAGAACCACAATGGCCGCCTCGGTGGGTGACGCGGATAGCACCGACAGTAGCTGTAGTTGTTGTAGTGTTCGATTTCTCGGCGTGCTGGCAAGGAAAGCATTCCTAACAGACCAATCGGACACGTGACTGCGGCCTATGCACGTACTGCACGGAAGAAATCCTCGGTACTTCCTGTTCGAATCTGGTAGCAGGAATGATGAACTAACAGCATGCAGGAGTACAAGTAGGAAACCCTAATTTGGTTGTACCCCATATGGGCTACCCCACTACAGCCTAGACAATATGCAGCATACATGTTTGACACACCCCCATAGGCAAAGTGGGGGAGAACAAGGGGTCACACGACCAGTCAAGAGACGCAAAGCAAGCTCAGGGTGGATCTCAACGTCACCACACATTCTGAGCACAAGCAAAGGGCCGCAAGGCCAGTCCACATGCAGAGATATATATAAGCAACAAGAGCAGTACAGTGATCAATACCTAGCAAGAGCAAGCATGCAGGTATAAATATAGAACACAGTACACACAAAAGACTACAGCAAGTGTGGAAACGTAGGCACAAGGCCTAACAAAGTACAAAAGCGCTGATGATCACCAGACGGAAGTGCCTTGGTGAATATATCAGCAGTGTTGGCCCTAGTGGCCACGTGTGCAAGACGAAGCTGACCACGCTGCTGCAGCTCTCGAGCCAGAAAGTACCGCAGAGCGATGTGCTTCGTTCTGTGCTCCAGTCTGTGCTCCTCACACAAGGCAATAGCAGCCTTGTTGTCGACGTACAGCACTGAAGGAGAACGAGGCCGCTCTCCCAGGTCGGTCAGCAGGTAGGTGAGCCAGCGTAACTCCTGAGCAGCCATGGCGGTGGCGTAGATCTCAGCCTCACAACTGGAGCTGAGAACAGAAGACGAGCGAGTAGAACGCCAAGAAACAGAACCAGAGCCAAGGCTGAAAGTGTAACCCTGTGACGACCGCTGCGTAGCCTGGTCGTCAACCCAAGAAGCGTCTGAGTGCCCAGTGAGGACCACCTCTCGCCGTCCTCCAAGCACGAGCCCCATGCCCGATGTACTGCACAAGTAGCGCAGTACCCTCTTCGCAGCATCCCAGTGCACCTTTCGGTGCCGACCAGGAGCCACGTAGCGAGCCAGAAGGCCAAGAGGGTACGCAAGGTCAGGACGAGTGCAAGTCATCAGGTACATGAGGCAGCCCACTAGCTCTGGGTAAGGACCACTCGGCTCTACGGACTCATCTGAAGGCAGAGCTGAGAGCGAGTGACCTATAGCCAGAGGAGTGGCCTGTGCTGAGGACCAGGTGAAGCCGAAGCGCTGAAGGACCTGCTGCACCATGTGTGACTGAGTCAGTGTGATGGTGCGGCGTGCTCGGTCCCGGGTGATCTGCAAGCCAAGGTAGCTGCGCAACTCACCCAGGTCTGTGCACGTGTGTCTCTTCTGCAGCTCGGACTTCACGTGGGCGAGTGCCTCAGTGTCAGCAGTAGCAAAGACCAAGTCGTCGACGTACACGAGGATATAGAACGGCGGCAGCGAAGTGTCGGTGCGTAGAAACAGTGAAGGGTCAGCAGTCGAAGGCGCAAACCCAAGAGCCGCAAGGGTAGTCCTCAGTGTGTCGTGCCACTCACGGGGTGCCTGGCGGAGACCGTAGACTGGCCGGCGGAGGCTCCACTGGGTACCAGGAGGGAACGTCCCAGTGAAGCCAGGTGGGCGGCGTAGCCAGATCTCCTCGTGCAGGCTGCCCTGTAGGAAAGCTGTGCTGAAGTCAAGGGAGTGAAGCTCGTAGTCACGCTGTGCGGCAACGTGCAGCAGCACCCGAAGAGTAGTCATCTTCGGGGTAGGAGAGAAGGTCTGGAAGAAGTCAACTCCCTCTCGCTGACTGAAGCTTCGAGCAACGTAACGCGCCTTGAAGACAGGCGGAGAACCTGGCGGCCGCTTCACCCTGAAAATCCACATGCCATCGACGATGTTCGCCCCGGGAGGGGGAACCTCATCGACGTAAGTGCCTGTGGACTTCCAGGATGCCATCTCTGCGTCCATGGCTGCCTGCCACTGAGAGGAGTAGGGACCCGCGATCGCCTCAGCGTAAGAGCGCGGTGTGGGGATGTCTATAGCATCCGGGTCTCCCTCAGGGGCAAGCAGCATGGCCACGAGATGAGGCGCAGCGGCTGCAAGAGACTCAAGGTCCTCGTGCCTGTCCTCAAGGACGTCCGTGCCAAAAGCACACTCACCCCCGACGGACGGAGGACAGACAGACTCAGACTCAGCAACAAGACGAGCAGCGTAGTCTAGACGACAGGCAGCAGCAAAGTCAACAAGCTCAGCGACTAAGGCAGACGCAGCAGCAGACTCAAACGACGGGTCAGTGACAACAGTGGCTAGCAGACGCGTGACAGTAGGGTGCTCAGCACGAAACCGGTCAGACTCAGGGTCCGCAACGTCAGGCAAAGAGGACGCAGGGGGAGACGGAAGAGGAGTACGCTCCGGAGTAGGGGACCGACGCAGGGCTACAAGGCGTGTGCCGGGGACAGCCGGCTGACGCGGACGAGGAACACGACGACCGGTACGACTAGGACGAACAGGCGAGACTGGACGCGACGCAGGCTCACGACGCTCAGCAAGACTACCTGTCTGCTCAGTGTAAGGAGAAGGAGCAGGCAGCGGTGAGCCAGGCTGTAACGGAAGACCAGTAGACGACGGGAGAGTAAGAACCTGACGAAGAACAGAGTCAGGCGGCGGCAGAGACGACGGAGACGGCGGAGCGAAGAACAGTCGTGGCGGCGCAGCTGCACCAGTACCGGCAGCTCCAGCAGCTCCAGTACCTCCAGCAGCTCCAGCACCTCCAGCAGCTCCAGAAGCTCCAGCAGCAGAACCGACACCTCCAGGCCCAGGGTCTCCAACCCCAGTGCCTCCAGCAGCAGCACCCCCAGAACCAGCACCTCCAGTCCCAGGGTCTCCAGCCTCCACGTCTCCAGCAGCAGCACCCCCAGAACCAGCACCTCCAGTCCCAGGGTCTCCAGCCTCGGTGTCTCCAGCAGCAGCACCTCCAGACGCAGCACCCCCAGCCCCAGCAGCTCCAGTACCTCTAGTACGAGCACCTCCGGGAC